CTCTGAAGTTGCAGTGGAACAAAAGGAAGACACCACAGGTATTTTCTTTTACTTTTACATTGTAGAACTACTGAAAGATATTTTGGCCTCAATGACTCATTAGAAAATTATCTGTAATTTATGCTTTGTTATTTTTGGTAATGACAAAAGCCCTGTGCCCTTTAGTTTTATACTGAGCATAAGGCAGAACCCATTCTCCACGTACTGTCTTCGTTCCCATCTGTGCCCTGTACTCAGGTTCACAAACAGATCTGAGGCTCTCAATATGGAAGCTCAGGTGCTCATTCCTTTCATAATTCTGAGATCTTTAAAATGTCCAGGGGGATGATTGTTCCAAATAGGTTTAAGCGCAAAGCCTGTCAAAGTCTTTTCTGAGATATACAAGTTAACTCAGGCAAAACAAAATCTTATTTTTATCCCCAGAGAAACCATCCCCTCAACTAGAAGGTATTGGTCAAAGAAAATAGAATAAAATATAGATTATACATACATGTAAAACTTATAAGATTATTTTTTACTTACTTACCCATTCCAGGATATATCCATCTTGGAAAATTCAACGATAAATCGTTCCTATATCTGTAAGCCACACATCAGTCATCTAAATAACTGAAATGTGTTTCAATACAATACCGCCACCAAAGAATGGATACATTTTTAAATGAACAAAACTACCTAATTATGTACCATAATTTATGAAGCAACATCTTGTGCTTGAACAGCATTGGATTTATGACATAAAAGTGCTTTGATTTCATCTGCCTGTGCCTTTGAAATAAAATCAATCTGTTCAATATGGCATAACAGGGCCTCTAAATCTGGCAACAATAAATTCACTTCTTCTCCTTGCCTGGATTTTGGAACCTTCACGCCAGATTTCTCCCCAACCCCAAAACTATCTATTCTCTTCGCGTGCTAGGAAAAGGGAAAGGAAATATTTGGTCATATGTACTTAAATGGTTCTTTTTGTCTTTGTGGTCCTTCTAATCTTCAATTCATTAGTCCAGGTCAAATCTGACATACCATCTCTACTATATGCATGCCCCATGTGTTATTCCCATGAAAATGTTCTAGTTCATGCCAGAAAGGCAGACTGGAACCTCAGGAGCTGTGTTCTTTGGGAACATAATACAACTAAGCAAATAGCTGGAAATAGCAACAATTATTCTATCTAAAGTTTCTTATTATGTGTTACCACTATTAGAATAATTTTATTCTAAAATTTTCTTTATCCTCACTGCAAACCTACCAGGTAGGTACCACCCACATTTTTATATATGAAAAAACCTCTTGCATTGTCCCCACCTAAAGCTGGCTAGGTAAGTTTTCTAAATGCACATGTGTCTGAAGCAGGATTTTAACCTAGAAATTCTAGAGTTTACTATTCCTGGAATTACTGAATACTCTAACTGGAGAGTAAAAAACTGTGTTTTTTATTACTTAGAAAGAAGTACAGGGGCTGGAGTGATAGTACAGCAGGTAGGGCATTTGCCTTGTGCACGGCCGTTCTGGGTTCAATTCCCAGCATCCCATATGGTCCCCTGAGCACCACCAGGAGTAATTCCTGAGTGCAGAACCAGGAGAAAACCCTGGGCATCATCGGGTGTGATCCAAAAAAAAAAAAGAAGTACAAAATCAGCAAACATACACACACGCACACATAACATGCAAAAACACTCAATTGACACGTTAGTCATCACTTAGATTCTAAACACTCTTATTCTTTTATTTTATTCAATATACCATACTGCATTTTTAAAAAAAATTTTTTTCAACGAGAAATACATTTAGAAATGGCCCTGATTTATTGAAAAAAAAAAGTGTCTTCTAAAAACTTCTTCCCTTCGCAATACACACAAGGTAAAGGTAAAGGTAAAGGCCCTCCCGTTGATCGTCGATTTGCTCGAGCGGGCCCAGTAACGTCTCCATTGGAGACTTTGCTGTTACTGTGTCTGTCATATGAATACTCTCGGTAGCTTGCCGGGCTCTCCGAGAGGGGCGGAGGAATCGAACTCGGGTCGGCCATGTTGGCCGCTTGTAAGGCGAACGCCCTACCCGCTGTGCTATCGCTCCAGCAATACACACAAAGGTCTCTGAAAGATTCGAGTTTGTTGCCTATGGAAACAATGATGACTGTGCCCCTGGCCTTTAAAATAGAATGTCACGAGGAGATTCTGTGTCACTATAAGGACCCTAGAATGTTTCATTCTTTCTCCAGGGGATGAGCCACCATAAGAGCATTCAGTTCAAGGCCGGAGAGACAATATAATGGTTTGGGTGCCTTGGTCTTGCAGTTGGCCAACCTGAGTTTGGTCCCAGCACTTCATACAGTCCCCTAAGAATGGCCAGGAGGGATTTCTGAGCACAGAGCCAGAATTGTACTGTTGGGTTTGCCCCCAGATAACCCCCATCAAGAAAAATTTAAAAAGCCATCAGCTTGCTCAGTTACAGATATATGCTCAGCCTCAAATGGAAACACAAACTCAGCCATCTCTTTAGGCTTAAAATAAGATCCAAATTCAAGAGGAAACATAAGTGAAGCCATGTCTTAAGCCAGAATCTCCACTATGCCATCCTGTGCTGAGATCTTAGCTGAAAGCAGTGTATGTGTGAACTAGCCAAACCCTGTCAACGCTAAATATAAAGAGAAAATAAACCATCACTTTAAGCTAGTGACTTTTAAAGTGCTACCACAATTGCTAACTGAAAAAATTACATGTCTGGGAAACTCACCTTGAGAGAACAATCAGCAACCTATCTACTATTCATCATGGAGAAATTCTTATTATAATTATTGCTGGCTTCTATGCTAGCATTTTGTTCTAAATATTATGACCATGTAAAACTCAAGGGCAAACCAAGTGCATCATAATTAACCCTGCATCAAAGGAGACCAAAGAAGAAATTGACTTTTCAAAATAATTTGCATTTGATTTTTCTTTTCTTTGTCTCAGCATGATACCATCACAAGTCCTGCGTGTTTTAGCTAAATCCAGCTACTAGGAGCCCTATGATCCTCTCTGTCATGTAGTGGAACAGTCAACCCTGAGAGGAGACTCAACAGACATTGTTATTTCAACCATGACACATGAATGTCATGGTCTTACCAGGATCTTGGTGACAACTTTCATTAGAAGAGTATTCACCATTTATTTTGGCCCAATCATACAAAACCTCATACAAAAGACTTGCTGTGTGCAAGATCAAGTACATTTATGAGCCAGATAAGCTTATGCAAAATCTATTTTACTTCATAATAAACCCGGTTGACCCGAGTTCAATTCTTCTGCCCCCTCTTAGAGAACCCAGCAAGCTACCGAGAGTATCTGGCCCATACGGCAAAGCCTGGCAAGCTACCCGTGATGTATTCGATATGACAAACACAGTAACAAGTCTCACAATGTTACAGGGCCTGCTCGAGCAAATCGATGAACAACGGGAAGACAGTGACAGTGACAGTGAATCTTAAAACATGAATATACAGAGGATGCATATTTATTTGTTTCTTTCGTTTTTCATTTTAACATTTGATTTTTTTCTCAGGTGAAGAAATGAAGCTCAAACTGTCAATGCCAGATGTCAAATGTTAGTTTGTACACTGTCAGGATTCAAATATCCTCCCTCTCTCACCTCCGTGAACCTGCATGAAATCAGGGTGGGTAGGCATAGGTGGTATTAAAGTACCTTCTCCTTTCACACAAGAGCATAGATAGGAAGAGATTATGGTAGCATTATGGTAGTATAGAAAATTCATTAGTAAAACTTAACACTGCTCAGAGCCGGAGGACAGCCAACAGCCAGCAGCATCTTTATCTTCTCAATTCACAAGCTTCAGACAACCTATTAACAACAGCCATTGACTTCTTCATGTTCTCATACATGTTCTGAGTAGCCTATTCTGTCCCATGCTCCTCACATCTCCTCCAAGGTAGAGTTAAGCATACTACAGTGCTACACTTCTAACTTGTGATTATTCAATTGCATTCAATTTCACTTACCATAAAATCATGTCCAGCAATATATTGACCTTATTGTCAGGGTTATTCTAATGAATTTTAAAAGGTTAGCTATGCCCATGACAGAAAATTTACTGAACTTAGTGTCTAAAATATTTCTGGATACCTTCATTTGTGTTGTTCAAGTCTAGCACATTCCCCATATATCATGTCTTCTTAATATATCTCTCCTACATCTTCCTAAGACCTGTCTTATTTACACTCTCTTTCAAACTCAACTATGTACACATTTCTACTGATCAATCTTGACGGCTCTGTTTCTTATAGAATACATCATATATTTCTGACTCATTACTGTATTTCACTGAATACCTGCTTATAGCCCTGGCTACTGACTAATATTCTAACTTCCTCAAGTTCAGAACCAAGAGGTTGGATTGATCTGACAGTTGGTATGTGGTATGCCTTATATGTGGCCGACCCAGATTCAATCCCTGATTTCCAGTCACCTGAGCTACATCAGGCATCATCCCTGAGTGCACAACAAAGAGTAAGCCTTGTGCATAGCTGGATGCATTTTATCAAACAAAAATAGATCTGAACTGAGCTGTACTAGGTTTTCCTTTCTTTAAACTATGAGTGCTACATTTGGTTCTTCATTGTGCATAGAAAGTGATAGCTTTGTTCCTTATTTATCTGGTCTTTTACACCTTACTTATTATCAAAATTACAAAAAAAAATTCTCAGCCTAATTGTTGAGTGACATTTCCCAAACTTTCCTTTCATGACTTGATTGTGGCCAACTCTCCACAGCCATGTTTGTTTTAAGTACTGGTTAGAGAATCATTTTTCTTGGCAAATTCTCCTTGTAACAGTGAACACTCCAACAGTCAGTCTCCTCCTCCTGCTCACTTATCCAACATTTAACAACTCTTTGTTTGGTGAGTACCTCTGTGTACTTGACACTTTGCTATGCCCTGACATCAGAGATAAATGAAGGAATAATAAGTAAAAACAAGTACCCACTGCCACTCTCATGCTCACCTGTTTGTCCAACGATAGAGGCACTCAGCCTGTGGGGAATCCGCGAGGACACCTTCAAGGTCACTCGGATTTGATAATACCTAGGAAATACCAGAAGACAGGTTGTTGGAAATCATACTTCTTGTCTGGGCTTTATTGAAGAATACTGACACTCAGTCTTGAATGCCAAGAAATTTCTATGCAGCATGCATTACTATCTCACATCAAAAATCAATGTATTCCAAGGCCATAGAGATAGTACGGGGCTAAAACACTTGCCTTACAAGCTACCAACATACATTTGTCTTGCAACACATATGGTCTCCTTAACATCACCAGTAATGATCCCTGAACAGAGAGTCAGGAATAATCCCTGAAAACAACTGGGTATAGCACACCCCCCATACACCTCTCTAAGGGGAGGGGGAAGCATTTTTCAAGAAAAATGGGAAATGGTATGGTGGGGTCAAGTTGGATAAAGGAAAATCTCACTTGAGATTGTGCAAGAATGATAAAAATTGATGATGGAAAAAATAGAGAAAAAGAATAGATGAACCTTGGGACACAGATATATTTTGGGTGTGGTTTTCCTTTGTCAGAAAAGTCCATTTTTACAGAATAGGAGCTTCAATTATAGAAAATTAAATTCTAATTTTATTTCTGATTCTGTCACAAAGAATTTTTTAAGCAAAGGAGTTTCTACTTCTGGTTATACTTTCACTTTTCCTAGTTTATATCTGTATTCTTATTTTAATATTTCACTTCATTCCTAAATTCCATATGTTTGAGACATTGTGAATATTTCAACACTCTCAGTAACACTCTGATCTGTCCTCTTTTGCCATAGTACACAGGTAAACTTTGAAATCCTATGACTTGAATTAAATGGCCCCTTTTACTTGCAAGCACTTGGGAATAATTACAGCATTGTAATTGTTCTCTGTTTCCATAGTGCAATGAAGTGTGACTAAATTGATTCAGACTGAAGTAAAATAGTCCTGAAATATATCAGTATCCCATAGCTCACTGGGTACACAGTGGGGGTTTCTCTGATATTGATTCCATTCTACTGTGCACATGATCACAGAACACTTAAAAATATTGAGAATATGAATCATGTTGAACTAAGTAGTACAAAAGCACAAACATTATATGAAAAGTTTTAGCTCAGATGACAGCTTTTGAGAGATGTGCGGTTTGGAGTACATCATGGAACTTCTTCCAACTGGTTTTATTATTATTATTTAAGGAGGATTTTGTTGTCTGTGATTTTAAAAAAAAATCTTAGGCAACAAATCATAGAGGGAAATATATATATATACATACATATATATACATATATATATATATATATATATATATATATATATCCCGTAGAGTCTGGCAAGCTACCAAAAGTATCCCGCCCACATGGCAGAGCCAGGCACGTTCCCTGTGGTGTATTCGATATGCCAAAAACAGTAACAATAACAGGTCTCATTCCCCTGAACCTGAAAGAGCCTCCAATATGGCAGGATTGGGAAAGATGAGTAAGGAGAGGCTGCTAAAAACTCAGGACTGGGATGAATGGAGACATTACTGGCACCCACTCGAGTAAATTGATGAACAATGGGATGACAGTGATACAGTAAATAAGGATTTTAAAATAAATTAAGCAAAACAACAAAACAAAGATAAAATTCTTGACATCTGCGTCCAAAAAAATATAATGTACATTTACTTTTTTCAGTCTTCCCACTCAACTTTATGTATAAAACCAACATGATTAAAGATCTTCTTTCTCTCTTTCCTTTTCTTTTCTTATTGACTCACCATGAGGTACACAGTTACAAAGCTGTTCATAATTGGGTTTCAGTCACAGAATGTTCCAATACTCATCCCTTCACTAGGGTACATTTTCCACCAAAAGTTCCCAGATTCTCTCCTGCTACCCTCCCCATCTGCCCCACACCTGAACCTCTATGCCTCAGTCTGCCTCTATGTCTGTCTGTCTGTCTGTTTGTCTGTCTGTCTCTCTCTCTCTCTCTCTCTCTCTCTCTCTAAAGAAGTTTCTCAATACAAAGAGCATCACCAGATAGGGACCTTAGGATCTAAAGATTGGCAGGGATGGTAATTTTATAGCTACTTGATTTCTTTTTGCCTCATATTCCTCAGACACAAGAAGTCAATAAGCCAGAAATGTTAAAGGTTAAAAAGAAAGCGGACAAACAAAAGAAATGGCTTTCTCTAGCCAAAGTATAGATAGAAGCAACCTAGCAGAGAGAAAAAAAATTGACAGCAGTCATTCCATCCCAGCCAACCAATACAGGAAAAAACAGCCTCAGCTCCACCAACGTTTGTAAGTGCAATGGAGAAGAGCATTGATATATACCCATATTGCTAAAGAATGATCTAACACAGTATTTTCACATGTCCTTAGTACTACTGAACCTAACTTCAAGTACTGTATCATCATCTTGAACTTATATTTATAAGAATATGCTGGGGAAAAAAATAACTTAGGTTTCTCTTTGTCCTAATTAAACAGAAAACTTATACTTAGCCTTTACCAAATCCCTTCTCTTGACACAAAATTTTGGACAGATTACAAATTAAAATCCAAAATATACTGCAGGGGCATGGCATACGAGACAGCAAGCTGAACAGGCATCCATGGGTAAATGGAACATCTCCTCCTCAACCAAGGTGCCCACATGAGCACCTAGGCCAGAGGGGACCCCTGTGGATTTAGAAGTGTGCCAGATGTAGAATAGTACATGACCTAAAGCAATGCCGCCCCTCCCCCTCCCCAGGCACACGGTTAGGTTAATCTCTCCACAGAGTTTCCAACTAGAAACAGATTTTAAACAACAAATAACGTAACTCAGTGAGAACCTTTCAGACTTCTAACCTCCAAAATTTTTAGAGAATAAATTTGTTATTTTAACCACAAAATTTGTAGCAGTTGATTATAGTAATCATAGCATATGCATTTATGTCTTACAGAATATTTTCCTCATAACAAAACAGATAGGATAGATGATTTACTTCCACATTAGCAATATATAAACTGTGATTTAGAGATGTTAAACAATTTTTTTCCATAACCATACTGTTAGTAAAAGTGAAGTATAAGTTTAAAGTATGGGACCAGGTGACTGAAAACAAGCTTGTATCTGGAGAGAAACACACAATTCAGTGCATTAAACTTCCTAACTTCACTCCATTCCCTGGTCATATTTTTTTTCACTTATAGCTCATTTAACTCTTTATTTGACCATATATATATATATATATATATATATATATATATATATCTGTTCTCTAAAGGAAACTGGAATAAAAATTCTATCTTTGTATTATTTTGTGTTTGTTAGAACCCTTATCATTCATGGAGAGAAAGGCATATGGTAATAATGGGCTTTAGTTTGTTGTATAAATATCCATCACCATCAGCTTCTGGGGAGATAATCCATCACCCATTCCTCTATATTTTAAGCAACTAACATAGTGCTCCAAATAGATGTCACTTACGCAATGCTAGGGGATAATAAATGAATGACAGATTAACTGAAATTCAATAACTTTATACCGATATTTTGATACTCCCTCCAAAAACACAGGGATACAATCCTGACATCTATAATTCCGTGAGTGACTCAGAATCCACAGGCAATTTTTATGTAAAATTAATGGAACTAAAAATAATATTCAATAATAGAGGGGCCAGAGTGATGGTACAGCAGGCAGGGCATTTGCTTTGCAAGGGCTGAACCCAGATTTCACCCCTAGAACTCCATATGGTACCCCAAACCTGCCAGGAGTGATCCCTGAGCACAGAGACAGGAGTAAACTCTAAGCACCATCAGGTATGATCTCCAAACAAAAAAATAAAATAATAATAGAAAGAGTCTTATAATCTTTCCTCATAATCAATTTCATATCAGGTATGTGATGAAATAACCAATTGGCCCAGGAACTTTGGTTGTGACTTAAAATATATATCGTTGTTTGTGAAAAGGTTAAAACTGAAAATCTGGAGTAGGTTTCAATGCCAAACAGAAAAACTAGAGAAAGAGTTAAGGTAATAATGTTCTTTCACGTGCATAGAAGTACCTGTCTCATCCTGCTAGAATAAGCATGAGGTATGAACCGGACAGAAAGTAAAACTCTGGGCTTTACAATAAAGAAAATATTATATTGGTACTATTTAAAACAAATATGAAACAGACATCATTCTCCCACTTCAACCATCTCTTCTAAAAGTGTAATCTACTCTTTAATCTTATAGCTCTGGGCCATTTTTTCTTTCCATAGAAGTTTCTTTTTATTTTGAATTAGAAACAGCAGAATGAAGTGGTTTGTAGCTGAAACAAACTCCATAAGAAAGAAAAGTGGAGCACTTGCTCATCCAACAAAAGACCAGACTCTCAAACTTGAAGCCTACTGTCCCATCACCCCTGGACAGGGTTCAAGTACAGATTCACAGGTGGGAAGGTGGGTACAATCAAATCCCAGGGAGTTAACAGCTGGCAGACCTCCAAAAAAAGTACTGAGATGCTTGTGGTAATACTAGTGCATTAAAAAAACTGTAAAATTCAATTTGTGACATTTTAATGCTATATAATGATGTTCACATGTCACTGTCACTGTCACTGTCCTCCCGTTGTTCATGGATTTGCTCAAGCGGGCCCAGTAACATCTCCAATGGAGACTTTGTTGTTACTGTGTTTGGCATATCGAATACATCACAGGTAGCTTGCCAGGCTCAAGTCCACATGAGTGGAAATGAACCTCGTCCCCTTGCCTCAAAGGCAATATAACAGAGAAGATAGAACTCTGAATTCTGAAATTTAACCTATAGGTATGTGACCCTGAAAATATTCTAATACTCATAAACTTGATTTCCTCATACAGAAATCAGATGACATTAACAGTAATGTGCCTCAGATACAAGTAATGAGAGTCAAGTGACTACAAGTATGTAGCTTATGTGTTGAAGTATGGGTCAATTGTGGAGTACATGTCTTGCAAGTATGATGATCTGTGTTCAAACCCTGATAATACACACACATGCACACACACACAGAGAAAGAGAGAGAGAGAGAGAGAGAGAGAGAGAGAGAGAGTAGAAAGAAAAATAACTGAACTAAGTCAGTTCTCAAGAACATGTAAAGAGCTCAATGTGTTTTTTTGTTTATTTGTTTTTAATTTGTGTGTCATCCTTGAGCAGGGGCCATGCTAATCTTCTCTGTATCGTTCCAATTTTAGTATATGTGCTGCCAAAGCGAAGTGGTTTGTAGCTGAAACAAATTCCATAAGAAAGAAAAGTGGAGCACTTGCACATTACTTGCACATTAATGTCATCTGATTTCTGTATGAGGAAATCAAGTTCATGAATATTAGAATATTTTCAGGGTCACATACCTATAGGTTAAATTTATAAATTTAGGGCATCACATTTAGTATATGTGCTGCCCGACCAGGGCTCCGGCAGCCAAAGACCTCCAGGACCAGCCACCACCATGCTGAGACCACTCTCTGCACACATGAAGGTACTGGCAGAGGGACAAAGTCACGCGGGTTCCGGGGCCGAGATCTCCAAGCCTACTCGGATTTGGGCCGAGCATCCTCCACCCAGATCCTCCAAATTCCAGTAGGCGGGGGTCACACCTACCAACTGGCCCCCTGATGCCGTATAATCCCATCAACGGCCAAAACTCAGAGACTATAAAAACCAGCTCCTGGAACCGCGCAGCCGCAAATGCGGCCGCGCGACATCTTATTATGACATATTATTATCTCATTTCTACTTTGGACAAACTGGCAGGTTACCGTATGTAGCCTGCCCACACGGCAGAGTCTGGCAAACTCCCTGTGGCGTACCCAATATGCCAAATACCAGTAACAATGATGGATCTCATTCTCTTAAAGAGCCTTGAATATAATCTCAGGGCTATGATGAAGGAGACGTTACTGGGGCCTGCTCGAGGCAGTCGATGATTTGTGATTTGTGATTTGATTTGTTTTTAATTTGTGCAAGATGAGGCTGGAAAAATAGTACAGCTGGTAGGGTGCTTACTTTGCATGTGCCAGACCCAGATTGAATCTCCAGTATCCCTTATAGTCACTAGACCACAACCAGTAATTCCTGAGTGCAGACCCAGTAGTAATCCTGAGCATCACCAGGTTTGGCACAAAAACAAAAACAAAATGGAGCCATGTTTTGTGGGAATGGAGAGACAGTACTGTAGGGAAGGCACTTGCCTTACACAAAGCTGACGTGGGTCTAATCTTTGACATCCCATAGAGTACCCTGAGTCCTCCAGGAATGACTCCTGAGTGCAGAGCAAGGTGTAAACCTTAAGCACCATCAGTGAAAGTAACATTAAAATTATTTATACATATTTATTGGTTTGGGGGCCATCACTGTCACTGTCCTCCCGTTGTTCATCGATTTGCTTGAGCAGGCCCAGTAACATCTCCATTGGAGACTTTGTTGTTACTGTGTTTGGCATATCGAATACATCACTGGTAGCTTGCCAGGCTCTGCCATGCGGGCAAGATACTCTTGGTAGCTTGCCAGGCTCTCCAAGAGGGGCAGAGGAATCGAACTCAGGTCGGCCATGTTGGCTGCATGCAAGGCAAACGCCCTACCACTGTGCTATCCCTCCAGCCCTTGGGGGCCATATATACATAAATATGATATGTGTGTATGTGTGTATGAAACATGTTTATAGTGCATGCCAAATATTAAGTATAAATGAATGTTTTTAGATGAAAATAACAATGATAAAAGTAATCATTGTAAGCAATAATTGAAAGTAATCATGAAAGAATCATAATCATAATAATAACATAATAATTATGATGATGCTTTGACACTTTGGTTTCTCTTTTAAGAAAATAATGGACCTACTAAACTCATTCTCTTTTCATGCAGATATTTAAGGAACCAGTAAACTGGTTGCTTCCTTTTATTTCAGGGATTCTGTAAAAATTCAGTACTTTAAGTACAGCCAAAATTACAAAGATGAAGGTTGGCCAACTTAAACTGGGTCTTGTCTAAGTCTACATGAGTCCCAGGAGAGAGCAGAGAAAGGAATCTTGCCATGGAAACAGACCTGGATTTGGAGGGTCCTTCTAGCAATTTCAACCAACCAAACTGCAATCAACATGAGAGGTAAGGAGGAAAGAATGCTTAGGTCTGGGTATGTGAGATTACCCAGGCCACCCCAATGGTTCTGGATCCTCTAGGGTTATACAAATCTTGCTCAGAAAACTCTGTGGATGGGACCAATGGTCCAGTTAAGGATCATACTGGGCTTTGCTACCTGCAAGGCATGGGATTTATCTTCTATACTATATTTCACCATCTCTTTTTAAAAGAAATATAACATGAATGTGAAAATAATTTTATTGCTAAACAATAGAGATAAAGCATTCAATAATGCATGGAGGGGATCATTATTTTTAGCTGCTACCTTTACTTCCAGTAATGCACATTAATTAGAATAAGGTTTGTAATTTAAAACTTAAAATAGGTTGTTAATCCTCAGTTGTCAAGTGGAATATAAGAGCATAATTAACAACACATAACAAATTGGAAATGGTCTTAGGACTTCTAAGGAATTCATCAAACTCAACAACAAATAATAAATAAGTTCATCAAAAAGTGGGAAATAACATAAAGTGATATTTTTCAAAAAGAGATAAATAGTAAACAAAAACATGAAAAATGTTCAATTATCACTTATTATTATAGAAATTAATATCAAAACAGTGGCAAGGTATCACCATATACCAGTGAGGGCAACACATAAAAAAATTCTAAAAATAAAAATAAATGCTGTTAGGAATGTGGAGAAAAAGGAACGCTTACTCACTGTTGGTAGAAAACTAAATTTAACTAATCTTATGAAAAACAGTATTGAGATTTCTTAAAACACTGAAAATAGAATTACCATATGACCTAGCAATTCTAAGTATCTATGCAGACACAAAAATATCAAACCAAAAGGATAAGAAGATATCTATGTTCATTGCAAAATCATTTACAAATAGCCAAGATCTGAAAACAGATGAAATGTCCAACAACAGATGAGCTGATAAAGATATAGTCTGTATATAAAATGGAATATGTAAAAAAGTTGAAATCTATATGTCCATTTTAAGAAAAGGAGAAATATTTCCTTTTTGCATAACATAGACATAATTGGAGACAGTCAAGCTAAGTGAGAAAAGGCAGGATAAAGACAAATACTGGATAATTATACTCACATGAATATATAAAGAATCAAACAAGGTAATTAATACAAATAAATCCTAGGCACTGTCCACATATCTTGTATTACAAAGCAGCAGGTGGCTGAAAGGGTCCAGTAAATTCTGATGGAGGAATATTGGCACTTGATGGCAATTGTAATAAGATAACATTGTATCCCTAAGGCCTATATATAAAGTTTACACTTATGTAAACCACTAGCATGCCAGTAAAGAAAAATTAAAAATAAAAGATTCCTCAGGTTGGAGGATGGAGCTTTATCCTGTATTATCCTCCTCCCCCATTATAATAAGAAATCTAATTCTCTTAGTCAACTCTTTCACCAGCTTGTTTGGCACTCAAAGTTTCTAAAGTGAGCGCAGTAAAGCTTTTTTTAAAATATTGTTTGATCCTTTCCATAGCTTACTTTAGTCTCAATCCTGGGAACTATTACAGAAGTGGAAAAAATATAAAGGACTATTGTTTTCCAGTTTATTGAGATGTATTTGAAGAAAACAAAGTGTGAGTTTAAGGTGTATAATGTGGTGGTGTATAATGTAGTGAATAGATGCATACAGATATAGAGATATATATGTTGCAAAATTAGGCAATTTTTGACTATACTATACACCATTGCTAACTGTTCTTTATTTAAATTGACTTTAACATGTTTTTATATTGTTTTGCTTGGAAGTCTAAATCCCTGGTGGTGCTCAAGATTACTCTTGGCTCTGCACTCGAGATTACTCCTAGAGGAGTTCAGGGAATCACATGCGGCATCAGGGATCAAACCCAGGTTCAGCAGGCAACAAGAGTGCCCAATCCTCTGTACTATCTCTCCATCCCTTCGTTATTTTTTCTTTGTTTAGTTTAAAGTTGCAAGAGCTGATGATATTCAGAAAAGTTTTGTAAATACAGAATGGCAGAATAACGTCAATAAAGCTAATCATATGTATCCTATTATCACAAATTTTGATTTGCTAGTATCTCAGCTAGTGAGCTTTCACACTGCCTTTTCCAGCAGGCCACCTGGCACTCTGTGGAACTTTAGACTTATAACTGGCTTACTCTGAAAGTGAGAACCTGTTGTCCTTCAGAAAAACTTTCTAGCCTCACTGGGAAAGCACCAATCCTGCTAGTAAAAAAAAAAAAAATGATGTGTCAAAAAGTCTGAGAAAAAAAAGAAAGAAAAATCTACAAGGGGAAAAAGAAACAATGAAACAATTGATACTTTTTAGTACTCACTTATAGACTGAATAATCTTTCTGATAATGTCCATCAACCCAAACAGTAATACAAACCATAGTTCATGTACAAAACATTGTACAATGGTGTTTGGGTTCTTTTCTGGCATGTGGCTGACCTAGGTTTGATACCTGGCATCCCATCCCATAAGGTCCCTCAGATGCCCAGGAGTGATTCCTAAGAGCAGATCCAGTAATAACTCCTGAACACCAGGAAGTGTGGCCCCCAAACAAATAATATAATAGTATACAATGTCACCTTTATTGATCTCAAGTTAGTAGCTTCAAATTGGCCACAGTAGATGTGCTTACAACATCAAAGTTTATATTTCAACGCCAATACCAACAATATGGTAGTAATAACAAAAGAAACAAACATTGTCCTCCCGTTGTTCATCAATTTGCTCCAGCGGGTCCAGTAACGTCTCCAATTTGAGACTTGTCTCCATTTTGAGACATGTTGTTACTGTGTTTGGCATATTAAATACACTCTCGGTAGCTTGCCAGACTCTCCAAGAGGAGCAGAGGACTCAAACCCGGCCTGGCCGGGCTGGCTGCGTGCAAGGCAAATGCCCTACCACTGTGCTGTCGCTCCAGCCCGGTAGTAATAAAGTACCCCTATTTATATAAGAAGGCACCTTAAGGAACTCAGGTAGGCAAAACAAACCATGACATTGGAAATGCTATCTATTAAAATGCAGGTTGTCAAGGTGACTAAATACTAAAATGTGCCTCCCCATCTCTGCTTCTCCCCCTGAAATTTTTATTGCACTGGCAGGTGGAC